CGTAACTCAAGGGTTACTGTAACTCATTGGGTTACCAGAGGATGGTGGGAAGAATTGAAAGTGCTAAAAGGTACAGGGTTTTCTTTTTTGGGTAATAGAAATATTTTGGAATTAGACAGTGTTGACTGTTACACAACACTGTGAATGTACTGAAAATCACTTTGAAATGGGGGATTGTTAGGTCAATTTTATCTCAGTAAAAAATTACCAAAAAAGTACACTGAAGCAAATTTTAAAATGATCTAAAATATTGCAAGTACACAGATTGAAAGAGCAGAATTCTAGGTAAGTTTGGTGAACAGAAGAAGCAGCAGTGAGGCTGGGAACCTGAAGGACCAGAGGCTCCAGTCAGAAAGCAGGAAATCAGCATTCTAGATTTCAGAGATTACAACTCTGAGTGCGCAGGCATAGAATACAGCTGTGAAAATGGGTGTCAGAAAAAACACAGGTCACAGTCCCAGGACTCAAAGAACTTCCTAAGCAGAAGCACACACACTGCAGCTGTCCAGGAGGAAAGGCTGAGCTGTAAGGGAAGAAGGAAAGGCAGCCACAGAGAGACTGAGCCTCTGCCTCAGTAGATGACAGCCACCAACAGGACTCCACAAAGGGAAGACCTTTACCTAAGAGTAAATGTCAAGTGAGTCAGAATTATCAAGCTAGTGGCCCTAAGGCATCCATCCATTCAACCATTTTTTACTAAGGGATTACTATGTCATAGGCACCCAGACAGATGATAGGAATACCATACATTTGCTGACTAGTTTTGAATACACTGTATCCTCTCTAATTCTCATTTTTTTCATGTATAAATTAGGGGTGATACCAACTGTGCAACATTACCGTGAAGACTAAAGTAAACATAGGGTTTCGTGTCCCTAAATGCACAACAAATGAGGGTCTTTTGTTGTTTTCTCTTTTAAAAACAATCTCTGCCTTCAAGAAGCCAGTAGTCTATTGAAAAGACACCATCAACAATGTTTTGTTATGGGGTTTTTTTGTTTGTTTGTTTTTTAGTTTTTTGAGACAGGGTCTCACTACGTAGTTCAGTTGGCCTTGAACTCACTATGTAGCCCAGGTTGGCCTTGAACTCACAACAATCCTCCTGCCTCAGCCTCCCAAGTGCTGGGATTACAGCATCATCAATGTTTATTTTGAATTTACCATATGCCAACCATGCTAAGCACTTTACATGTAATATCTCATCTTATTCTCATAAGAACTCTGAAATGGATGGATGGATGGTCAGTTGGACAGACAGATGAATAGACACACCCATTTTCCCCATTTTGGAGATAATGATGTTGAGGCACAAAGACTGGAGATCTTGCCCAAGGCCACATAAACTACTAAATGGTAGAGCCACAAATCCAGACAGCTCCAGGGTTTGTACTCCTAACTATTAAGCTATGCTAACAAACCAAAAATCACAATCATATTAATAGTTTAAATGGAAGAACGTGCAAGAAATAATGCAACACACACACACACACAAAGCTGAAGTTTGGTAGCACTTGAGCTGAGAATAAAAGGGAAGACACTTAACAGGAAGACACCAGTGAAGAGATGCAACAAGACTAAAAATTATATCCACATGGCAACTCTGATGCATTATGATGCTGCCAATGCCGGAACACCCTGCAGAATGGATAAGTAATTGGACTCAATAAACAATGACACTCATGAAGCATTAATCACTAGAAAGAATGTAACTACTGATAGCATACATTATAAGCAAAGGAAGTGTGAGCTAAGTCACCAAGCTAGCTTAACCTGTCACTGGCTTGATTTACAATGATACTATAGGTGGAACTTGGCCTGCACAAAGTTATGAAATCACTGAACTAGTCTTAGAGGAACCCAGCCCTGTCCCCCATTAGTCTCAATGCCAACACCTTTAATAACAACCATTCCTTGCTCCTCCTCAGCCTTTCTTCTCTATGCCATAGTTCTAAAGTAAAAAATGACAGAAAATAGGGCCACGGATTTAGCTCAGTGGTGCTACTGCCTGCCTCGCAAGTTCAATCCCTGGTACCAAAAGAAAAAAAAAAAAAAAATACAAATAATAGCTTAAGAATTTAAGGCAATTCCACCGCCTGCCTTGCAAGCACAAGGACCCAAGTTCGATCCCCAGTACCAAAAAAAAACAAAAAAAGAATTTGAGGCAAGTGCATTTTATAAGGGATCAGAAACACCAAAGCATAGAACTCTGGGGCCAGAGGGAGAGAAACAGAAGATATTTCAAATGCTGTCAAGTTTCTACAATGACCTTCATAGCCCTTTGGGTAAGAGACTCTAAAATGAGTCTAATGTTTTCTTATCATTGAATGTCAGTATTTTAATAATTTGCTGGGTTTTTTTTTCCTTTTTGATGCTATTAGGGATTGAACCTAGGGCCTTGGGCATGTTAAGCAAGTGTTCAGCCACTAAGCTACATCCTCCAGGGTTTTTTTTTTCCTTTTAAGACAGGATCACATTATTTTGCCTAGGTTACCCAGGGTGGCCCTGAACTCATGATTCTCCTGCCTCTACCTCCCAAGTAACTAAGATTACCAGAAAGTACTACCAAAATATGCTATCACATCTGGATCAGTAGGGGTTTTTTTGTTTTAGATTTGAGTTTCTTGGTTTTAAGATTCTACCAATGTACCCTGACCACAACCAAATGAGAGAGAGAGAGAGAGAGACAGACTCATAAAAGCAAAACCATCAGCAAAAACACTGTCAGATTCTGTTCATGTACTTTGAATTTTGAGGTCTGCTCACCCCATGTATAGTGAGTGTTTCACTTGATGTAGATGCAGTTGTACATGAATATGTGAGCTATCTTTTATTACACCACTCTGGGATTCTCTAAAAAGGTTTGCCCTTCTGTATACTCTCTCGTAAAACTATGGTAAAATCAAAACTGCATCTTCTGTTGTTTACTTTTCGGTTTTAAAATTTTGCTTCATCAAATACTTGAAAATAAATACAATACCTTAGAAAAAAAAAATAGAACTAAAAAGCCTACATATAATTTGTAAGTAGAAAACAAAGCAAAATATTTGAAAATAATATACTTATCCAAAATTAAAATATTAATTTTTTATAACACTTGTCTTGAAGCTTGCTACTATTCCTCAGAAAGTTGCTTAGTACGCAACCCTCAGCAAGGGTCCTGAGGCCCCTGAGGTACTCAGGAGGGGCACTAAACTAATACAGAAGCACAGAGCTTCTAAACTGCTCCGCATCTTTTAACTCTGTCATTTGAAATAAAGAATATCCCTTGTGTTCTTAGACTTTGAGATCTTTATCTTTAAGGTGGGAATAACAACATTCTTCCTACTTACCTTACAGAATCATTGTAAAAATCAAAAAGATACTGTATACAGTATTACAGGGCTTTAAAAATTAGAGTACAGCCAGATGTGGTGCACACATCTGTAATCCCAGCTGAGGGAGGATTACCAAGAGTTTGAGGCCAGCTAGGCTACATAAGGAGTTCAAGGTCAGCCTGAACTACGTAGTGAGAACTTGTCTCAAAAAGAAAACAAAAAATAATAAATTTTAAAAATTAAAACAGTATATATACATGTATAAATATATATATACACACACACACACAGAGGAGGGAGGGAGGGAGGACATAATACAAACATTACTAAACAAATTTTCTAAATTGTTGGTTTGTTTTATATACGTAACTAATACTACTATATACAGTTTCTATACTATATACACTATATAGAACTGTATTTATTTTGTGATTTCAAACATTTGAGAATATCCTCAGAACATTTAGTCTAACAAGCATTATATCCTTGCTACTCAAAGTGCAGTCCATAGCTAACACTATAAGTCAGCTGGAATCTGGTTAGAAACACAGAATCTCAGGTACCCCTGATCTACAAAATCAGAATCTGTATTTTCACAAAATATGATCCTTTTGTGACTCCTATGCACAGTAAGCTTTGAGAAGCACTGCTTTACAAAGCAGTATCATTTACAATAATAATTATATAAACAGGGCAGGGCATGGTGGCACATACCTGTAATCCCAGCACTAAGGAGGCTGAGGCAGGAGGATCACCATGAGTTCAAGGCCAGCTGGGGCTACACAGTGAGTTCAAGACCAGCTTGAACTACGTATGGAGACCCTCTCTCTCTCAAAAAAAAATTTTTATAAATAGGAAATTATTTCCAGAAAAAAATATTTTAAATATATGCATGTGACTTATTTCCAGAAATTTAAAATGATTTTTCATTAAACAATAGTTACCAAAGAATATCTAAACAAATGGAACAAAAGTCATTTCTTATTCTACGTAATACTTCTGCCTGGTTCTTAGCAGGCAATGCTTCTTTAGATAGATATCCAAAAGTATCAATAATTAATATAAAATGTAGAAATCATGTACATTTACCCCCATATAAAATATGACTATATCAATTACTAAGTTTCTGAGGTTTTTCTGGCATTATCTTAAAAATGGAAGGAATATTTTAAATTTTATTTATATTTAAACCTGGTCACACCTAAATAAACACAAATGGCTAGTCTATGTATATATGACACCCATTAAGCATCAAAAAAGACAGATGCACTCTTTTGGAAGAAGAAGCCCAAAACAAACTTCCTACAATATAAAGATTGTCAGTTTTGAAGTCAGACATGGAAACAAATTCTTTTTTTTTTTTTTCTTTTTTTTAGGAAACAAATTCTTATTCTGCCACTCAGAATACACTTTGACCAAGCAAAAACTACTTAATGCCTCTAACCAAATTAATTTCTTCTTGTGTAAAACTGAGATAATAGCTGGGGATTTAGCTCAGTGGTTCCGGTGCCTGCCTCACAAGCGCAAGGTCCCAAGTTCAATCCCCGGTACCAAAAAAAAAAGAAAGAACACTGAGATAATAGGACCTATCATCATAGAGACATAAGGTAATATAAACTAGTATTGTAGGTACTAATACTTTATAGAAAATAAGAATGTTTTAAAAATTGAAAACTTAAAGTGTACCTTATCAAGTTTTAGTTCCAATTCTGCTACATCTCCTTCTACTTCTTCCAAAGCAGCCCTAAAAAAATTAAATAAAAGTTATTTCATTTGTTTAAATGTATACTTCACTCTTGAAAAGTAACTTTTCACTCTAAGTGAGAAGGTAGATACGTTAGAATGAAGAACAAATGCTTCATAATCGTGGAATACAACAGACAATACAAATATTGTTTTAGGACAATGAGAGAATACATTAGGCTGATTTACTCAAAGAATTAATATCATTCAAATTAATAAGATAATTTATAACATATATTTTTAAAATATAAATAAGAGTTTGTAAGCAAGATGATAAAAAAACACAGAAAGAATAGAATCTAATTTCCAACAAAAAAAATTTTTTTAAAGATGAGCCTTACAAATAATCAAGATTTCTAGACAACAAAGCACACGCAACCAAACAGCAAAACATTACTGACAATCAAAAGAGGATTTTATTTTTAGAAATAGTTCAGAAAGATATTACCTATTTTTAATCATTTTGTTTCCACAAAAACTGAATTTATTAAAATTCAGAATTAAGATTTACTAAATTTTAGACTATTCTCACAAAAATACAATTTCAACGCAGAAAAAGTAGCAAAGGTTAGATTATGCAAACAGCAGAAAATAAATAGTAAACCAGATAGTCTTACTGACCACAAAGAATGATCGAATTACAATATTAGTTAACACTTGATACTACAATACAGGGCAGCATTAAAAAACTGGGAAATTTGTCTCAAGCAAAAAAGCAGCAACTAAAACCTTTCAAAGATAATAAGACTGTGCACTAAGAGTAACGTACAATAATATATAGTTCATCTATTTCAAGTCATTTATGCTCTCTTCTCATTTTTGTGGTGCTTGAGGACAGAATCCAGAGCCTCATGCACCCTGGGCAAGTGTCCTATCCCTGAGCTACATCCTCAATTCTAGGGCATTTTCACGTACCCAGCTGATGAACCAGCAGTTTTACAATGGCTATTTTAAGAAGAAACCAAAATTTGTTTTAAATGGATAGTAGCAGAAAAGCAGTCACCCAAAAAAGCTAGTTGGAATACTGCATAAAATATTTTCAGGCAACAGAGTTAGGGGAAAGACAGCTATGATATAAACTCTACTTCCACAACTACCCATTCACCTCTGTGTAACCTTTCCATAATTACCTTACTGGCTTGTGATTCTACTTCTCTGTCTGGTGACATTGATTTTTTAAGGCCTGTAAATCTCCAAAGTAAGAAAATAACTACAAAGTAAGAAAGTAACTACAAAGTACTGAATTCAGTAAAGAGATGACATTATAAAATGAGATAATCCAGCATATGGCTCCATAAAATGGGAGGTGGCACACCACAACATAGAAGCAGAAACACTTCACTCCTAACAGTTGGCCACTGTCTTCAGGAGTGATTTTCAAATGACACTGTTCCCTAGAAAACATTTCCCCTTCACTTTATACCTCACTTCCTTCACCTACTCATCATTTAAACTTATTTCACTTGTGAAAGCAAATATGTATATACAAAGATACTCACTATAATAATCTAGAAACCTAGATGCCTTACAATAGGAACAATATAAATAAATGATGCATCCATCCCATTATGAAGGAAGCAGGTTTTTGTTGTTGCTGTTGTTTTGTTTTGTTTTTTGAGACAGGGTCTGGCTATGTAGTTCAGGCTGGCCTCAAACTCATGGTGATCCTCGTGCCACAACCTCCTGAGTGCCTGGAGTACAGGTGTGTGCTACCACACCAGGCAGGAAGCAAGGTTTTAAGTGAGACTGATCTGTATTTAACGATATGAAAATATGTAAATGATAGATTATTACATAGGGAAAAAGTAAGTTACAAAATTATATCCAGTGGAAGTCCAACTTTGTGCTGGTCTATGTGTTTAGACACACATAGGAAAATAACTGGAAGCATATTTATCAATCTATCTATCAACCTGGAAAATAGGAACTGAAGATTAGAAACTGTAAGTGAGGATTTGGCTTTTTTTTTTTCTTTTTTTGAGATAGAGACTCACTATGGAGTCCAGGCTGGCCTTGAACACTTGAACCTCCTGCTTCAACCTCCCAAGTGCCAGCATGACAGGCAAGCACCACCACACCTAGGTAAGGATTTGCATGCACTTTTTACTAATACTTCTAGGTCGTTTCACTGTTTTTAACAACTACTCATTTTTAAGTAATTTTTAATGTTAATAAAGAGGGGAAAGGCAGAAGTTCAAACACTGCCTCCTTGAGAAGTGGCTCCCTGTGGAGCCCTCCTCATCCACCAGGCCACCTCGCCCACCCCCGCCGTCGGCCCCCAGCACCTGAGCACAGCTCTGCTGCATCCACACACAGCCTGAGTGCCACAGCAGAGCAAACACTCAAATGTTTGCTGAGTCAAGGAAGAAACTCATCAAGTCCTAAGTTTTCACATACTTTTTCATTTACATTTTTAACCTTTATCTTGACTCAATCTTCCATTTCTTTCAAGCAAATTGGTCAAAATGAACGGTTTAAGATTTAATTTAATCACTGGCTTCTACTAAACATATGGCTTGACAGAAACTTTATTGACATTCTTCAACATTATTCCATCACGTAATTCTAATTTACTTTTGTGAAGCAACAGTTTTTAAGAAAAGTGTGAGCTTATGCACTAGAAAATAGTCGCTTTTTATTTGTCATTTAAAAACAAAGCCCCCTGGGCCAGGGATTTAGCTCAGTGGTTTCGCCACCTGCTACGCAAGTGCAAAGACCCAAGTTCGATCCCCGGTACCAAAAAAAATTTTTTTAATTTAAAAAAAAATAAAAATAAAAACAAACCCCTGGCCAGGGATTTAGCTCAGTGGTTCCCGCACCTGCCTCACAAGCGCAAGTTCCCGAGTTCAATCCCCAGTACAAAATAAATAAATAAATAAATAAAAATTTAAAAAAATAAATAAAAAGCCCTCTGTTATTATACATTCAAAGAATCTGAAAGTTTATCTTGAAGGCCCTTCTATTATAGACAGCTAAGTTAGGCAGAAGTATTACAGGTAGTCAGACAGCGGTAGGCCCTCGAGAGAGTCAGCACAGAAGGTAAAAAGCCATGTTAACTGTGGCTGGAGGAGCATCTGTTGAAAGCCAGGCCTCAAGATAAAGACAAAATGACCAGGCCTACCTGCCTCCCTAAGGGAAAAGCAATATACTATAATGGGTATCACCTGGTCCAATAAAGTCTAGATAGACATCAGTCACCCAGGTGAGTGACCAGGACCTCTTTTATTTCTTCTTAAAAAGGTCTTTGTTCACGTACACTCACTACATGACCTGTTTCTCTATTGGGGCAATACTACCTAAGCACCTATACTTGTAATCTTATTGGCTGATCATACTTTTAACCCATATTGTACCCACCTCGTGATTTTGTTCTATAAAACTTCCTTTGAGAAGTGGGCTCGTTGGCAACCCACTTTTGGGTCCCCTTGGACAAAAAGATCCCCTTTTGGGGTCCTTCTGTCTCTCAGGAGCTCTCTCTCTCTCTCTCAATAAAATATTTCCTCCTCTTAACCTCCATTGTTCCTTAATAATCATTCTTCTATTTTGGGGAACACAAACTCGGCATATCTGACATCCAGCAGGTTGGAAGTAACATTTATTTCCCCTGTTATCACTTCAATTCAACATTATGCCTTCTCTTTTTCAAAAAAAAATGTTATGGGGATTTAGCTCAGTGGTTCCGCCACCTGCCTTGCCAGCACAAGGACCCGAGTTCGATCCCTGGTACCAAAAAAATAAATAAAATAAAATTTTAAAATGTTATGGATCATCTAGGTTGTATGTGAAAACTTATAGCAACAGGCCAGCAGCTGTCTAAAGCAGCCTGGTTCATTGATAAATATTTCTTAGTATAATGAGAAAAGCACCAAGGAAAGAGCATGGTTTCAGTTCAAATTCTGCTCCATCACACCCTTATTTAGACCTAAAATATCTAAGACTTTTCATCTGTAAAATGATAGAAAAATACCCACTTCAAAGAGCTGTAAAAGCCAGTACCGTGGTTTGTCCTGTAACCCCTGCTACATGAGCCCAGTGAGCCCAGCCTGAACGACACAGTAAAACCCTCTCAAAATGCAGATGAAATGAGGGACGGCCCTAACATCAACCACAGTATTGACAAGAATGCCAGCAACTTGGCTCTCTCCTTTGTCTCACCCAGGACTAGGAGATGAGTTTTGACTCCCTCTTTCTTCTATTCATTTATGTTATGGGACCTTTCAGGAACACATGCTTAATAAAATTAATAAATAATCAACATGTCTTTCAAATATTGGAGGACAGATATTATTCCTCTGTAATTCTCCCAAATATTCGTTAAGTATATAATTTTATAAAAGCACAAGGTATTAAAGAGGCCAAACATAATTACAGGTCTTATCCTCTCTACCTAAAATTGTAATATTACAAAACTTCAGGTTATATACTATTATGTTTTGTGTCTAGATGTCCCCTCATGTGGCCTCATGTGGTCTTAGGTGGGGCTTTTTCAGGAGTGGCTGGATCTAGAGTGTGTGCCCCTGGAATTTATTCATGGTGCAGTGCTAGGCTCAAGGGCACTAGGATTAAGGGTGTGAGTGCTACCCTCCCTAAGCAGTCTGGATAAAATTAAAGGAGCAGAAAGAGGCTGCTAAGGTCCCTTGTTTATTTTGGTGTCTTCTGTGGTGCAATGAACTATTTTTCCTCTGCAACACCCTTCTGCCCTGTGCCACCCCTGCCTTGCAGCCAGCCAACTATGGACTCAAACCTCTACAAACTGTAAGCCAAATAAACCTTTCATCCCTTAACTTGTGAGTATTGGGTATTCTGTCTTAGCAGGAGAGAAAAGTAACTAAGACATACATGCACTAACAATGAAAGATACATGATGAGCAGCAAAATAAGCAAAACAAAAAAGCAACTAATATATACGTGTGTGTGTGTGTGTGTGTGTGCGCGTGTATTAGTTTAACATACATATATAGGGGAGGGGAGAAGAGGGGAGGGGGCACTCAGCAAACCATA